TTCTGGGTCAGCTTCCCCCAACCATATCCTTCCTCCCCACCCCCGACGCAGTCCCCCTGCAGATTGTGACGTAGGCCGACCTGGGGTCTGGCCGGAAATCCCCCTTCCTGTTGTAGATAAGCCTGGCGCAACCCAACTGACCCCAGACCCCCCCCCCCCCCCCCCCCCCCCCCGCCATGTCGCAGGATCAAGACCCAAGACGGAGAACCTGTCCAGCAAGTCCCCCGCCCCACCCCCATCACCCCGTAAACTCCCCTCCGCACCCCGGGTCTCGCGCAGCCCGCTGTTCCCCAAGCTCCTGTCCAAGTCCAAGCCATCCCCGCAACAGGATAGCCGGAGCTGTCAGGAGGCGGCGGACGACCATCCCTGAGGGGGGTGGAGGGTGGGGGGGGACGACGCTTGGCCCCGCCTCTGTCCCTGCAACTCGACCCAGCTGCGACCCCCAGCTCTGACGTCTCGGAAAATTCCCCCCCTGCCCCGGCCCCCAGGGGAGGGGGTGCATGGTATGAAATGGGGCTGAGACCCCTGGCTGGGGACAGAGAAACCCGCCAGAGGTGAGCCATGAACTGGGGACTGGATGTCTGGGGGTCTGGACTCTTGGGTCTGAGGGAGGGAGAGGGCTGAGGTCCCCTACTCCTAGTCTGAGAAAAAAGGACACTGGAGGCCAAGATTCCAGGGTCTCGGGGAAGAAGGGAACAAAAGGCCTGAACTTCTGGGTCTGAGGGAGTCTCCAGCCAGACTCCAAGGTCCCTAAGTGTCACCAGCTCACCCCTTCCCCTTTTTTCCCCTGCCCAGAACATTCACAAGGAGCATCCATGGACTTGTGGAACTGGGATGAAGCTTCACCGCAGGAAGTGCCCCCAGGGAACAGGCTTTCAGGGCTGGGTAGGCTGCTGCACTGAGTCACTGTATGGGGAGGGTGCACAGGTGGGGGTCTCTGCTGACCCCGACCCAGCCCTAACCTCCTCATTGCCTGCAGAAGGAGCTGAGCTCGGCTTCTATTTCCCTGAGCTGGCGTTCCCAGGGGACACGCTGACAGTGGAGACACGCTGGAAAGGTGGTTTTGGGCTGGGACACCTGGGAGCTGAGGAAGGTGAGAGACTGGGCTGCTGGGACTGAGGGAGGAAGGGTGTGTTCCTGGACTCCGGAGCTAAATGGGGGGAGGGCTGCGGGCTTGAAGTCCTGAGGTTGAAAGAGGACGAGGCCAGGGTCCTGAGTTCTAGGTATGCTTGAGTAGGGGCTGGAGGTAATAACTCATTCCCTGAAGAATAAAGACTGCTGCGTGAGTGATCGAGGGGACGTCTCTAGTCACTGCTCACACCTTCCCTAAACTCCGTTCTTATCCCTCGCAGGGCTCTCACCGCTGGACTGGGGCTCCACGTTAACGCATCCGGAAGCTACATGGGAGGCGGGTGAGTGTGTACACAGAGGCGGGTGAATGTGTACACAGAGGCGGGGGAAGAAAGGGACTGGGGTCCTCCTCCGTAGCTGGAGGTTTAAACTACTCGATCGTTGAGGGGAACGGGGCTAGGACGGGAAACACCTGTGTCCTCGAGGTGGCATGGCCTAGATCCAGGAGCCCAGGGCCCCAGGGCTTAGAGCTTGGACTCCAAGAACCCCCGGGCCAGAGACCCGGACACCTAGGCTCCCCTCACTTGAGATCTGTTGCTCCTCACAGATCCCGCCCGTCAGGCTCTTCCGTGGTCGGGAGACTGGACGGACTTGACGTGCAACGGCTCGGACCACTGGAACGGCTTCTCCCAGGCCCCGGGCCCCGCCCCTCCCGGCCTTGGCCCCGCCCCCTTCGCCAGTTCTGCGGGGACAACGGATCAGAACTGTGCCACCTCGGGGGGAGGGACCAATTCGTGGTCTTGTGCCCAGGCCGCCCCCAGCTCCACCAACTGGGACAGTTCTATTGGTCTCGACGGCACCACCTACTGGGGCAAGGGCCTCCGCGGGGAGCCTCACGCGGACTCTACCATTTCGTGGGTTGGACCTGCGGTCTCAGACTCTACCACCTCCTGGGTCTCGGGGCTGCATACGGACTGCACCACTTCTTCAAAGGGATACCAGGCTTCAGATCTCACCACGTCCTCTGAACCCAGCCAGCAGTCGGACCACGTAACCTTGGCTTGTTACCCCAAAAGTAACCATCGAGGTGAGGGGTCCGCAAGACCCGAATCTAATGAGGCGGGGCCTAGGCGCGTAGGGGCGGGACCCAGGAAACTGGAAGTGAGGGGGCGAGGCTGTTACCTAAGAGTCCGAGAGAGGTGGTGATGGTGAGTCCTGGGGGAGGAGAGGACTAAGACACTGGTAGTCTTCCAGGGAGCAAGAGACCTAGGCTCCTGGATTAGTTGAGGGGAAGGGGTGAGGGTCTGGATATCTGGGTCTCCAAGATGTGGCACCCAAACTCCTAAATTTCAGAGATGGGGGCCCCGGCTGCCCGGGTCCCTGAGGCCGATGCTGGGGATCCTTATATGGAGGGATCCGGACTCGCTGGGCCCGAAGGGGATGGACTTCTGGGCCCCGAGTTGGGAAAACCGGACACGTGGACCCTTCGAGGCGAGGGAGCCCGGACATATGGGTCATCGAAGCGACTTGGTCCGGGGCTAGGAAGCCTGAGTGTTCACCTGCCTGCACTCCTCAGGTCCCATTCAGCTGTGGCAGTTCCTCCTGGAGCTGCTCCGAGACGGGGAGCGTAGCAACTGCATCCGCTGGACGGGCAACAGCCGCGAGTTCCAGCTGTGTGACCCCAGAGAGGTGGGGCAGCTTCCCAGACCGGCCAAGTCCCGCCCCAGTCTCGCCCCAGTCTCCTTCAGTTCAATTTAGCCGAGGCAGTTTGCCTAGCACTTGACCTCCCCCACCCCACCCCAGCTCGTACTCATCTCTACCCCCGCAGGAGTTAAAGGGACTAACTCTTGCCCAAAACGTACCCGAAACCGCGTCCCCCGCCCCGTGCGTCTGTTGCCTAGCCAGGCTCCCTCCTGACTCTCAGACTAAGCCCAGCCTCCGTCCTAGGTGGCGCGGCTCTGGGGTGAGCGCAAGAGGAAGCCCGGCATGAACTACGAGAAGCTGAGCCGAGGCCTGCGCTACTACTACCGCCGCGACATCGTGCGCAAGAGCGGTGGGCGCAAGTACACGTACCGTTTTGGGGGCCGCGTACCCGGCCTGGTCCATAACGACTGCGCGGGAGGTGGACCGGGAGGAGCGACCCAATAAAAATACCCCGTAAAATTAATCGTGTGTGCTGCCTGCGTCCTTCCCACTGACACTGACTAAACCCACTAAGGACCCTAAGTGTGCACCACCACACTCACATCCCACCCCCACCCCCGGCCTGTGTGATCTTAAGACGCGCGGTGACTAAAACACACCCAGACCCTTAGGGGACCTACTTGTGTGTTCACTGTGTGATGGGATATTCAAAGGAATCAACTCAGTCCCTTTAGGGCCTACTGTGTGCCTGCCCGTGCTGGGACTCGTAAAGGAATCGGACCCAATCACTAACGTTTGAGTTTACCTGCTGTGTCCCTTCTGAAGAGAAGACTCAAAACTCCAAAAGAGGACTTATGTGTGTTCTTCCAGTGCTTGGGACCATTAAGTAATTAGACTTAGTGCTAGATCCCCCAAACCACCTACTGTCTCACCACTCCAAGTTGAGGGTGGTTGAACTTGGATCTAGATCCCAAGGAGAGCCTACCCCATTCTGGGAACCACTGAGTCCCTAAAGAGTGGTCCTCCTATGGACTGACAAAATGACAATTTTAAATATTTGGTCTGAGAAGGACTCACCAGGAAGGTGACATTGAAGCAAAGACCTGAAGGAAGTGAGGAAGGGAGCCAGCTTCACAAAAAGCATTCCAGGCCAAGGGGAGAGCAAATACAAAAGGCCCTTAGAGGGAAGCCAGACTGCGTGTTTAAACAGGAAGAGGCCAGTATGACTGGAGCAGTGGGAATAAAGAGAAAAGGATAAGAAATGAGGGTATAAGAGGGACCAAACTGTGTAGGTCATTTATAAGGACTTTGGCTTTTGACTGAAAGAGTCAGACAAGACCCAATGGGAGGGTTCTAAGCCAAAGGGAAGTGATGACTGAGGTGTTAACGGGGTCTCTCTGGCTGAGTGGATGATTGTGGAGGGCAGTGGGGAAACCAGGAGGCTAGGGTGTGGGCTGCTTCTATAGCCTAGGCTGGCTGTGCCTGTGGCTTGAACCAGATGTCGAAGATTCTGGATACATTGCTTCAGGCAAAGACAAGATTTCTTGATCAGCTAGCTGTGAGGTGTGAGAGAGTCAGGGATACCTCTGTGACTAGAATAGATGTGTCACTTTCCAAGATGGACTAATTTCTGCCAGACCCAAGCTTTTATGTTCTTAACCCCTCCTCTCTGTGATGCAGGACTTTGGTTTGAGCCTTCAGGCACCCAAATCTGTGTTAATTTGTGCCTTCTGGAGTTTGGGGAAAGACGGTAATGAACAGGGAGGTGGGAGTCTGGATATTCCTCACAGTATGACAAATGACCCTGGGAGAAAGACTGGTTCGATTTCAAACCCCTAACAATTGATCCCGTAATAATCATGAAGAGGGTAGGGACTCGTGTTTGTTCAGTGATGCATCCCCAACCCTTATCGAAGTACCTGGCACTGGGTAAGCGTTAAACAAGCAATACCTGCATGAATAAGGATACTTCCGCTGGGATACTTTTCCCTCGGCCCACTCTACAGATAGTCCCAGGACTCGAAACTCCTTTCCCTAGGTAAAAACAAGAGATGAGAAACTGTAACCAGGCGTCTCAAGCCCCAGGTCGGACCTTTGAAATGCGCACGCTAGCTCACGATTGGGCCGGAAGTGATGATCAACAGGCATTCAGCCCAATAGGATTTCGGAGTTCTCCCGGATGGGCGTGGCCTTAATGGCTCCAGAGACGGCTTTTCCGCGGGCGTTCTAGCCTCGCGGAAAACTCTCACACAGGCTGACTCGCTTCGCTTCCGGCCGGCCTCAATTCCGCTTCCGGTCCGACTCTGGCGTCTTTGCTGAGGGTCACATTGAGCTGCGAGGTGCTTCGGGGGTGTCTTTAGGTGAGTGTCCAGGGCTTGGGAAGCTGGGACCCTGTCCTGGGGAACTGAGGAACCGGACCCTCGTTTCCCGGAGGACGAAGTGAGTTTCCGGCCCGCGGCGTCTGGCCCCCCCTGGTCCCTAGGGTCCTGTTCTGTTAGTATTCGTTGCTAACGATTATTTCGGTCTTCCTTAATTAATGCCAGGTAACGTTTCACGCGACTTTATTAATGCATTTAATCTTCACTCCAGCCCTATGAGGAAAGGCCCGCAATTATCCCTTTTTGACAGTGAAGCAACTGAGGATCAGCGATATTAAGCTACTTAGCCGGCGACCGGGGTTTGGATTCCGTAGTTAGGACGGTAGTGCCCTCAATCAGCAGGCCGTAGGCAGACGTGGCTCCCGTGGCTTGCCCGGGCCGCGGCCTGGCCTTGCACCCAGGTTTCTGGTTCCTCCTCCCTCTTGAATGTTAGAGGGCCTAAGAGTCATTCCTGAACCACCCTCCCTCCCAGGTCTCCCCCCAAAACAACACTTCAGAACAACTCTTCTTCTGTGTCCCAGCGCTGGTATTCTACGTCTCCTCCCCATGCGCCTCTACCCTTTCCCCCCAAAGATTCTACTGTGGTGCCCCAGATCCCCACCACTACCTTGGGTCCCTTGAATTTAACACTGGCCTGCTCACTACCTTGGGTCCCTTGAATTTACATGGGCCTTTGTAACCCCATTACTCTTTGAATTCTCTGGAATAGAGGCAGTTTCACATTCCATGGAGAAAACTGTGTGTCACCTCATAAGAGATACAGCAGAGCTTTTTGATTCTCAGTCTGCAAAGTCCATAGAATGCAAGGTGTGCTAGTACTTGAAGGGGGGAAAATTACATAGGTATTTTTCCTAACCTTTTTAAAAATTTCTTTCTTTTTAACTGTTTGTTTATTTTTGAGAGAAGCGAGCGGGGAGGGGCAGAGAGGGAGACAGAGAGTCCCAAGCAGGCTCCTCGAATGTCAGCACAGAGCCTGATGCGGGGTTCCAACTCACCAACTATGAGATACAAACTGAGCTGAAATCAAGAGCTGGAGGCTTAACAGGCTGAGCCATCCAGGCACCCCTTTATTCTTCTTAATCTCTAATTTAAATGTAGCATTTCCTTTTAAGAACGGAAGCATCAATCTTGGTAATATTAGCATCATCTGTCGCTTTGTCAGCAATCAAAATCACAGGTCATCTTATATCACATTATGGTTGCGGATGTCACAGAATACATCTTCACTCGTGACTACTTCAGAATTGTGGTAGTTAATAAATCCTCTGCTACATCCAACTGGTTTTCTTTATGGTCCTATGCAATCTTTTAATGCATTAAAAAATATTCTGAGAAAGGGTTCGTTAGATCCCTGAGGAGTTCATGGTACCAAGGAGATTAAGAACCTCTACAGTGTAGATCTGTCAGTGATGGAGTGTGGCTCCTCCACTTGTGTGACCTTGGGAAGTCACTTGGATACCCTGTCCCTTGTCTGTGAAACAGTGATAGTAATAAGTAATAGTTCCTACCTTTTAGAGTGGCTGCAGGAGTAAAGTGTGTAGAACAGTGCTTGGCCTATACTGAGTACTCGGTGAATGTTAGCCAGTGTTATTTTGGGATGAATAAGGCCCGATTTTGCTAAGGAGTCCCATCCCCCCGCCCTGCCAAGCCCTGCTGTGACTTCCACACTTAGATGTGTGGATTTGCCCCACGCTTTACCTCTGTTTGTATATGCTGAGAGGTAGAAGGTGGTGGCTGATTCACACCTAACCTACCCCATTATTCTGTGTCTGGGTGGGCTGACCTCCCCATGCCCAGGTCCCTTAGAACTTTTGCCAACCTCCACTGCCTATGCCTCCAGGACTCAGCACGATGGCAGAAGACATCAAGACCAAAATCAAGAACTACCAGACTGCCCCTTTTGACAGCCGCTTCCCCAACCAGAACCAGACCAGGAACTGCTGGCAGAACTACCTGGGTAAGCAGGGCGTAGACGTGGGAGGGGATGCAGACCTTTTCCTGGTCCCTCACCTCATGTCACTTATCTGTTGTCTCCTACCGGATCTGTACATCCCAGGCCTCTTTTGTTGTTGTTGTGGGCATCCCACCTTGCAGGGCCCATGCCCCTCATCACAGCTGTGTTCAAGTTCCAGGATCTAGGTCAGGATCACAAACTTTGGTTCCTATAATGATTTTTTTTTTTTTTTTTTGAAGACTGTGTGTATATGTGACAGATGTAACATACATAAAGGAAATATGTAAAGCATAATGTACACCTAAATGAATAATACTAAAGTGATTCCCCTGCGTAACTATAACCTGGATAAAATTAGATACTGGCCAGCATTCTGAGCTTCCCTGCCTACTGCATGCCTTGCCTTGAATACAGCATCCTACTCTGCCCACTAGAGATGTAACCTTGCCGACTTAAGGCAATCACATTTTGGTTTTATCACTGCTTTTAGGTTTGCCCCTTGATGAACTTTATAGACATTATACATAGTCTCGGTTTTTGAATTTCTTCATTTGGCAGTTTTGAAGATTCATCCATGCTATGATGTATGGTTTGGTCATTTTCATAGTGTATAATTTTCCATAATTTATTTCTGGACCCTTGCATGGTTTCCAGTTGGGGGCTTTTATGGATGATGATGCTATGAATGTTCTGTGTAATTTGATGTGCATATGAATGCTTTTGTTATGTAGAGAATGTGCCCAGGAGTAGAATACTTGGAGTATTTTTCTTTTTTTAAATTAATTTTCTACTTTTATTTTATTTATTTATTTTAAAGATTTTGTTTTTAAGTAATCTTTGCACCCACTGTGGGGCTCAAACTCACAGCTTCGAGATAAAGAGTTGCATGCTCTACCGACAGAGCCAGCCAGGCACCCCTTAATTGCCTACTTTTAAAGGTGTTTTTATTTTTAGTTTATTTATTTATTTTGAGAGAGAGAGCCCCAACAGGGGAGGGCCAAGAGAGAGGATCCCAGGCAGGCTCCCCACAGTTCAGCACAGATCCTGGTGGGAGAAAGGGGAGGCTCAGGCTCACAAACCACAAGATCAGGACCTGAGCTGAAACCTATAGTCGAATGAATGAGCCATCCAGGCACCCCTAATTTCCTACTTTTAAAAACAAGATTATCCCCTTCCCGTCTTAGGATGCCAGCATCTTAGCATCAAGATCATCTTCCCTCTCCCTTGCCCTGGTTTTGGACTTCCATAGTCTCTGCACATGTCCCTCATGTGACCTCCTCATTCCTGACCCCAGAATTTTCAGGTCAAACAGTAGTTCTCTAGGGGCCACGAGATCAATTTGGCGAGGCATGTCTAGCCTTTTTCAGCACATTTGTAGGAATGTACATTCTTTGTCAAACGTGTGTGTGTGTGTGTATGCATAACTGCTGTGAAGTGAAAAATATTTCTCTGAGTTTTGATCAAAAATGTTCTAGGGGCAACTGGGTGGCTCAGTTGGTTAAGTGTTGGGCTCTTGATTTTGGCTCAGGTCATGATCACACAGTTTGTGAGTTGGAGTCCTGAGTTGGGCTCTTCACTGACCTCGCAGAGACTGCTTGGGATTCTCTGTCTCTCTCTCTCTCTCTCTCTCTCTCTCTCTCTCTGCATGCTCCCCCTCCCCCACTTGTTCTCTCTCTCTCTCAAAAATAAACATTTTTTAAAAATGTGTTCCAGTCCTTGGTCTGGGCTGAACCTGAGCCCCTTTCTTCACAGACTTCCACCGCTGTGAGAAGGCGATGACTGCTAAAGGGGGTGATGTCTCCGTGTGTGAATGGTACCGGCGTGTGTACAAGTCCCTCTGCCCCATATCCTGGGTATGTACTACCTGCTGGGGCCCTTGGAACTTCGCTGGATGGGGTCTTAGCAGAAGGGAGTGTGGTAACTCCGTGGGGGCTCATCTGAGAGGCAGAGGAAGCACAGGGCATCGCACTGTCCATGGGACTTGACCTTTTCTTTGTGGAATTGCCCTCCTTCTCTCTTTTTAATGATACTCTCAGCCAGTCAGGACTCTCAGCTGGGGCCGTCTCCATGCTACATCCATCTTGCTCATGCAGCCCACAAATATGCGTATGGCCGGCTCCCTGTCCCTGTGGGGCTCGCCATCTTGTGCATTTCTGTGCCTTTTATTATGAACACATTCAAATTATACATAAAAGTAGAGAGAATAATTCAGTGACCTTCCACTTATACCCACTCCCCAAATTGAGTATTTTCAAGATTTTTCCACATTCCCTTCTTCTGTCCCCTTTTCTTTGCTGTAGTGTTCTGAAGGAAATCTCAAACATGTCTTTTTACCCCTACCTACTTCCGTGTGCTTCTCTAGAAGATGCGGACACAGTGAGGCCATCTGGCTAGCCCTGATTGACCAGACCTTTTGTCGCTATTTAATACTCTGTCACACACTTCTTTAAATAAAGAATTTATCTTGAGGGGCCCAAGTCCTTCTGATTGAGCCCCCCGCCTCCCAAATATTTATGTTTAACATTGTACTATTTCCTCAAATCAAAGATCCTCTTGACTGCAAGAAACATTGAGAAATCTTTTTTTAAAATGCCAGAAAGGAATGCAATTAATGCTAATTTCAGAGATGTTAAAATGCAAAAACCTTGTGTTTTAGGATCAAAATATGGTAGTATTACAAAAGTCATAGTGCTTATTAAAAAAAAAGCCCAATGTGAGCAGTACAGTAAAATAAAAAGTAGAAGCCGTCTTGTGCTCCCCAGTGCTCCTTCCCTGAGGTAACTAGTGTTAACTCATTCCCTTTTTCCTGTGGAGCCTCTGTATGGATGAGTCACACGACATAGTCTTTGAATTGCTTTGACTTCTCAGTGTGTCTTGAAGCCTTTTTTTATAATAATGCATACAGATCTGCCATTTTAGGTTTTACTAACTTTCAGATGCTTTTATTTAACTGATTCCCTTTTGATAGAGATTATGGTCTAATTTTTCAGTATATATGAAGCATCCTTGATGTACGCCTTTGGGGCTTATTTCTTGAGAACAGATTGCCTTAATGCAGTCTTCCTCAGCTTGCTTGGCTCTCCTCCCACCTCTCTGGCCACAGTGTCTCATGTGTCTTTGAGTGCCCTGTGCCCTTCCAGGATTTCTCCTTGTCGCTGGGTGATCTTGGGTAGCATGATGTTGTGAATTCATAACATCCCTCCTCCAGCCTCAGAGCCTCCATTGGGTGCATGCTGGACAGAGGCCTGGGAAGCATGCTTATGGCCCCGGTGCCGCCCTACGCCCCATTCTCCAGGACCTGGGCCTGCCCTTACCTTGGGAGCAGCAGATTGTGTGGTTCCTACCCTCAGGTGCCTGCTGTGTCTGCCCTGTTAGGGCTGAATATAAATGTATTCTGCCAAGTCCCTTTTAAACCTGGCTGCCCTGGCTTCTTTATTTTAAAAACTTGGTGAAGTAAAAACAAGTGTTTTGTTATTGCTGCTGCTGTTGTTAAATTTTTTTTTTCATGTTTATTCATTTTTGAGACAGAGACAGAGCATGAGCCAGGGAGGGTCAGAGAGAGAGGGAGACCCAGAATCTGAAGTAGCCTCCAGGTTACGAGCTCTCAGCACAGAGCCCGACGAGGGGCTCAAACTCATGACCTGTGAGATCATGACCTGAGCTGAAGTCGGACACTTAACCGACTGACCCTCCCAGGCACCCCTGTTTTGTTTTTTATGAAAAATATAACCACTTCACAAAAACTTAAAAAATAGAGAAAGGGCAGAAAAATGTTCCCCATCCTCCTGACCTCCCTAATAATACTGTCGCATTTCCAGGTGTTTCCTGTGTATTATTTTCAATTAGTCTCTAATCCCAGTATGTGTATTTTGGAAGGGCATTTAAAACATTTTTTCCAACCATGTTTTGTTTTCCAGGTTAAAAAATCTTGAGTTTCTCTATGAAAAAATAGCACTGACTTTTGTGGAATCTTCAAAACAGGAGATTTATGTAATGTAGAAAGTGAAAGCCCCCGAGCCATTCCCTTCTGATCCTAAAGTTAACTTTCCTTAGTCATTTGGCACAAATCTTTTACTTCCTTTTCTGTGTGCTAATGTGTGTGTATGTGTAGATACATGGTTATGTACTTTTTAATACTAATGTGGGTCATACTCGTGACACTGTTTTGTGCTTTGCTTTTTTTTACTTAACATGCATTGTGTACCTACTTCCATGTCAGTACAATCTGCTCACTTATTGGGCAGCCATCATCTTAATAGTTATAAAAAATATTTCCTTCCCTTTTAGCTGGATTCACATCTTTTCACTATACAATAGTGATACTTCAGTGTACATTTCCATTCCGGGAAATGTTTTCTCCTCTATTTGAATGGTTCCCTTAGTTTCCTTTCCATGAAGTGGGATTATTGGGCAAAGTGAAATTTCCAAGTTATCAGACCAACCTGATCCTTTAAAAAGAGATGGAGAGGAGGGTAAGGGGCATTAAGGAATCTACTCCTGAAATCATTGTTTTATATGCTAACTAATTTGGATGTAAATTTTTAAAAAATATAATAAAATTAAAAAAAAAAAAGGAGATGGAGAGGGGCGCCTGGATGACTCAGTTGGTTAAGCATTCAACTTTGACTCAAGTCATGATCTCATGGTTCCTGGGCTTGAGCCCTGCATCGGGCTCTGTGCTGACAGTGCAGAGCCTGGAGCCTGCTTCGGATTCTGTGTCTCCCTCTCTCTCTCTGCCCCTTGCCCACTCGAGCTCTATCTCTGTCTCTCAAAAATAAACATTTTTTAAAAAGAGAGAGATGGAGAGAGGGTCAGTCCCAGCGACTGAGAAGTTCACTCATAGAGTCCTGTGGACTGTGGACAGTACAAGTCCAGTATGAGGGAATCCAGGTGAGCGTTGACCTGAAAAGATGTCCATCTCCACTCAAGTCATCAGGAAAACACAGCTTAAAACAACAGAGAGAAGCTTGTTTTTACCTTGCATTCTGGTGCAAGAATTATAAAGATGGACAGTGCTAAATGTTAGTTGTTCTATAAATTGGTACAATCTCTTTTGAGGTCAGTTTGGCAGGATCTTTCAAAATGGAAAAAAACATACACGTGGCAGTTTTACATCTAGACCTACAAAGATGCTCCTGTGTGAGGATCTTCATTGCAGAGTTGTTTGTAATTCAGAAACAACCCGAGCTAGATAAATGTTGGTACATTTATCTTGATCTTTGTGACAGAAAACAGAAAGAGCTCTAAGACTTGTGGGAAAAGCAAGTTGCAGGACAATATGTAGTGTGGCCCAATTTGTATGTTTTTTAAAGTACAGAGTATTCATGATACATGGTGTGTAAGTATGTAAATAAAATACACATCACTTAACTATGAGCCAGCTCATTTGTAAGCACTTGATATCCTCTAAGGGCAAACATGCTGGAAAACAGGATGAGATGGATACTGTTATCGCTGTCCTCATTTTTTTTTTAATGTTTTATTTATTTTTTGGAGACAGCGCGAGCAGGGGAGGGGCAGAGAGAGGGAGACACAGAATCCAAAGCAGGCTCCAAGCTCCTTGCTGTCAGCACAGAGCCCGGTGCAGGGCTTGAACCCACAAACTATGAGATCATGACCTGAGCTGAAGTCAGACGCTTACCCGACTGAGCCACCCAGGTGCCCCTCACTGTCCTCATTTTATACAATTAAAAACTGAGCCCCTGAGGGGTGCCTGGGTGGCTCAGTCTGTCGCGCACCCAGGTCTTGATTTTGGCTCAGGTCATGATCTCATGGTTTCGTGAGTTCAAACCCAGTGTCCAGTTCTGTGCTGGGCGTGGAGCCTGCTTAAGATTCTTTCTCTCTCCCTCTGCCTCCCTCCCCACCTTGTGTGTTCTCTCTCTCTTTCTCAAAATAAAAATTTTAAAAAAACAAAACAAAAACAGGCCCTGAAAGATTAAGTAATTTGCCCGAGGTGTCACAGCTAGGAATTCTGATTCAGTCTCCCTTATTATCCGTGCTTTGGTCCACTGCCTCTAATACATGGCATATATATGTGAGTGTGAGGGTGTGTGTATATCAGTGGTTGTGCTTCTGACCGCCTGTAGGACGGTCCACAGGTTGCAGAGTGTTTCTTCTAGGGAGTGTTAACAGTTTGATACTGGCCTTTCTGTTATTTTTTATATGCCTATATGCGTACATCTGTGATCAGCAGGATCACACTCTGTATTCAGTTTTGCACCTTTTTGCACTTGGGAGATCCACTCGTGCCAGGGCATAGATGAGCCTCTTTTTTGTCTCGCAGCTGCCTAGTGTTCTTTCCTGTATTCTGACAACCATCACTGAGTGTTAACTCTGGGGTTCCTGAAATACGGCACAGCCGTACTCTTGAACCTCTTTACAGTCACACATCTCCCCAGGGACAGCCCTGCAGTGAATGTGGGATTTTTCTGCATGTTACTTGCCCCCTTCCAACCCTCACTCCTGAAATAGTGGCAGTACTGGGCTTACTTGTTGACGACTGAGCAGGTGAGCAAAGTGAGGAAGACCAAGGTCACTCATCTGGTTTCCCCACAGGGGAAGGGAGTAACATTGGCTGTGTTTCCACAGGTGGCAGCCTGGGATGACCGCCGGGCGGAAGGCACGTTTCCTGGGAAGATCTGAACTGGCTCCACCCACCTCTCCTCCGTACTCCATCCTTCTCCTAGGGCAGTGAAGGGGGACCTGGGTACATGGTGATTCCCCACCCTGGGATCCTGAAGCATGGCTTAACTAATAATAAATACTCATTGGAAAAGTGTAAGACTGTGTATGTGTGAAAGAGCTGGATGATCGGGCAAGAAGCTGGGGTAGAATTAGTACCTTGACCAGTAAGAGGGGCTTCAGGGTGATTGTTTTTTTTCTGTTTTGTTTTGTTTTGTTTTGTTTTGTTTTGTTTTGTTTTGTTTTGTTTTGTTTT